GCATGAATAAACAGGATTTCTTTGAAAAGGGTGCTACACTATGTTAGGAGATAATCCACTTAGTCTAAGCTTTTAGTTGTGTAATGAGTAATGTGTGTAACCACAGATGGAACCAGGGTACAGTCTGCAGATCTGTGATGACTGCTAATTTGGACTACAGCTTTCAGAAACCCCCCAGGGCTGGAGGGCCAAAAGGGAAGCTAGCAGACAAGGAAGTTTGCAGCCAGAGTGATAAGAAGAGGCAATGTTTGCAATGCCTGCAAGTGGAGTCTGGTCAGCCTTACATGGGAAGGCTGCACAGTGGAGGTTGGGATCCCACTGGCTTCATCAGCCAGGACTATGTAGACTGAAGGAGCTGGGGACAGCTTCAGGCTGCTTCTGTCTGAGTGCTCTGGGACTAAAGGCTTGTTTGAGGGCATATATATATATATCAGTACTTATTTGGGCTAGTGCTAGTAGATCCAGCAGCTGAAGCCCTTGCAGCCTATCTCTGGGCATGTCTACACAAGATGTTTACTGCACAGTAGACTAATTAGCTGCATAATAAATGTCTTGGCATCTCTATTAGGCTGGAGTAAAATAATTTACTTCACAGCAGGGTAGTACTTTCATTTATGGAGTAAAAAACTCTGCCGCAGTGCATGTGTAAATGCTGCCCTGGCTGGCTGGGGCATGAGGGTGCTTCAGTGCAGGGGTTACCTGCTGGCTAGGAGCACAGGGAAGCACCCTTGTGCCCCAGCCAGTCCTTCTGCAGCACCTTGAGCCAGGATGAGCAGTCCTGGATTGGCAGGCTGACAATCTGGGTCCTCCGCCAGCTGGGGCTGTTCTGACCTGGCTCAACATACTGTAGTCCTGAGCACACATTCAAACAGTGTGCCTGGGAGCAGTAACTTCTGGTGCGATAAATGCTCGAGTGTATTGCTTTGCATTAATTGCACGTGTAGACACACCCTCTGTGTTGTACACTGGTGCATTACTTAGTACCTTAGAAGGTACATCGGTGAATAGCCATCATATTTACATGAAGCAATCGCTGGCAAATTATTAAGGTCTATAGGTTTATCCAAAAATATTATAAGCACTGTAACAGTAAGGCACTTGAGGATTTTTGTGTGGTCATGTTTATACTTAAGGACTGCCTAATTTAATCTCAGCTGTTTGTATTAATGGATATTTATCTAGCACAACAGATGTTTTTACATTTTCTTCCACAAAATGTATTCAGATTTTAAAAATAATTTTCTGTGTTCCTGCTGTTTTTATGTTCATTTTGATTGCTAGCTAGACACTTTACAAATTTGCTGAATTGACATATTTTGAAGGCTGTTCTAGTGAACAAATTTACTTGAAGGAATGTGCATAGAAAGAGAATGATTTTTTGGTGCAAGTATTCACGTTTTTACTTGTAGGTTGCTCAAAATTCATACATATGTTGTTGAACAAAGCCTGGGTGCTCTATATGCCCAAAGAGGATATAGCCTAAGGGTGTAGACAGATGTAACAATTGTATTGATGTCAAAGGAGCATAAAAGATGTTACGATGCAACTGTCACATCTCTATGATTTTGTAGCAATATAAGTATAGCAAGACTCCTTCAACTTTAACCTTGCTTTTTGCAAGGTCAAAGTTAGGGTATTTAGCCAACTTGTAGTTGCAACAGGATCACATAGATGTACGAGAGCATACATAACAGCTACTACATGCTCCTGAGCAGCTGCGTTCTCTTCCATTTTCAAGTGGCTACATTGTATATTTGTCCATATCCTAAATTTCAATAAGCACAAAATGAATAGTCTGCATGCTATCTGCAGATCCAGAATTGTTATTAGAAGTTATTTGGCAAATAATTTTGAATGATGAATACATTTAGGGAAAGCTTCAATCTGCTTGAAGACAATATCTGAAAAGTAAGGTGAAATTTGTAATAAAAATTATTCATTCCAAGTTATTTGCCTGAATCTCATTCTGAAGAGTCTTTTAAATTTTAACATCAAACTTAACTTAGGTATAGTTGCAGTACATTTATTTTTTGGATATCATCAAAGCTGGTAATGGTACAATGTGCAAATGTCATTCTAGCATATAAATGTCCATCAGTAAAATGATTGCATCTACTTTGTATCATTGCTTGATATCATAGAAATAAAATCTGAATTATAGGTCTACGCTTTTCATCACAGAAAGCCTGTAATCTGTGCACAATGTTCCAAGCAGAGTTTTATTTGGAGTTGCACCATCCCAAGAAAGTTCCCTGATGCTTCCTACCCATAGTTCATGGCAAGGGTATCTGTTGTGCTGCTACTAATGAGTGTTTTTCAGTGTTCTGATGGCCTGGGCTGGTCCATGGTGAAGGAACAGTGCTGTGGCCAAGCCCCCTGTTCAAGAGCCAAACATCAGAGATGAACTGACTTCACATTTCAAAAAAACAAGTTCTGTAATTGTAACTGACACCAGTTATAGAGAAGACAGGGATAAGAAAAATTCCTTTCATCCCTCCCCCTTTACAACCTTTGCCCACTTTGGTATCCATTTAAGGTGTAGGCACAGTAGAATCCCACATTGCTTTTATGATGCTAGTGGGTCTCTTCATCATCCTCCTTCTGTACACAAACATCATAAAAGTTTGGCCTCAAGGAAGACCTACCTGTTTCTGTCAGGGCTGATAAGCAGCTTTCATTGATTTGGTCCACTTCAATGTGTGTGGGCCTCTTGGCATGAAGATAATCCTTTTGTAAAAGAGTAATGCATCGAGTAATGCTGTAAAGCAATGTATGTGGAACATGAACATTTCTGAAATTACTTGATCATGGTTTTGTGTGTGTGTTGTTCTTTTTACCCCTCTTTTTTTTTTGCAGGAGGGTGGCAAGGGGGAGAGGGGGTGAAACTATACCTATTTCAATCATTTCCAGATATTTACTCCTTTCAATCCGTGAGTAATTTTCTCAAATGCTTAATTTACTCAAAAGTTTCAAAATGTCAAATCATTTGCTATTTTAATATAACAGTTGCAGATTATTATCTATGACAATCTCCCATTATTACTCCTTAATTAGAATTATAATTGTTACTCACAGAGTTTTTCCCTTTTACCACAAGGCATGTCTGGCAATTCATTTTTCTTTATAGGAAGTGGAACAGGAAGAATGATAAACGGACCAAATTTAATTCTGCTTCAATCCTGCGTCAAGCAAAACTGTCTTTGAATTAAAGATTTTCAATACCAGTGGGTAAGCAAATGTAGAAACTTTCTACTGTGTATGGCATGTCAAACTTCAGGGAAAAAACTACTGCTTTTACTGGCATACCATATACACCTTTTTTCTTCAAAATCAGCTGTCCAAAATAGGGGTGGGCATCTTAGGGGCTGGACCCAATGATCTCACGAGGTCCCTTCCAGCCCTAATGTCTATGAAATCTATTAATCTGAAGCTTATTTGTCTTTGCTGGAAGAGAAGCAAAGTAGAATAGAGCAAGCAGATGCTGTGACATGTGGCTGCTTCCTCACCTTGGGGCTGCAAACAGAAAAGGAGTCTAGTGTTAACTCTGTCACAGCTGCTGGTGGGGCAGTAGCTCTTGGTTGAAGAACTACTGAGCAAGCTGAGAGTGAGTGATATGGGACATGCAGTCTGTATTGTCCTGATGAGACTTGTGGTATGGAAACAACTCTTATTTACAGGAACTTCTATAAAAAAAACTATTTTAAGTAAAGAAGGAACAGTCTTGCTACTGCCCCTGCAAAGGTCTGCTATCTTGCCATATCCAGAAGTTGCTGCTGCATTACCCAAACTACTTCCTAGGATGTCGCACTTCCTGGCCACTCAGTGTTTCCAGAAGGGCTTAATCTATGTCCCATGATCAGCCATGACAATCTTTTAAACATAATTTAATTTTTCTAAAACATTTAAATATTTTATATTATTTATAAAATTTCAGAATTTTATATTTTTTATATTCTGCCTGCCAAAAACAGGGGGCCTGTTTTATAGGGGATGGGGACAGAGGATGTGCGATTTGTAAGAAAATATAAAATTAGCATAAAACTGCCTTATATTACTGACTGAATATTCTCTGGTTTGGCCCAGCCACCTCAGTCTGACCAGTGGCATATTTTTCTTCACACTGCTATTTAGAGCAGCCTGGGGAGCTTGTTATGCCCAGCAACTTGTGGAGTGAAGGACAGACTGAGTGACATTTTATCTATGCTCTTACAAAGAAACCCTGTGTCGTGGAAGGGGGGGAATTCAAGGAGGAGGCAAGTATAGAGCCATTATGCTGCTTTGAATTTCCTGAGCAGAGATTAGATTTGCCCTGTACTGGGGGATTAGGGTCCTCTATGGTGGGTCCAGTCAGGACAGCAGTGCAGGGATGGCTAAAAAGGGGCTGCTTGGAGCTGATGTTCAAGGCTTTACAATGCTTAGGAATGGCTGTACACAAATTGGCTGTTTTTGCTAATTTTGAGCTGCATACCAGTGGAACAAGACAAAAGATATTAACAGCCAACCCTCTATTTTTAAGGGGGATGACCTTGTGGTTGCTTGTAGAATAAAATAAGCTAAAAATATTTACCCTATGCAAAAAGATTGGGTTGAGAGTTTCTCTGTGTTTTTCAAGCAGGAAATGAAAAAAGAAGAAACACCTGTCTATACTTAGTGGACTTTCTCAATTCAACTAATCAGAATTACAAGCATATAGTTAGGGAGAGAATAGACCTATTTGTATTTCCCTAGGGCCTTGAGTTACATGTGACTAGAGGGTATCTTTTTCAATTGCATTCACATGCACTACACTGATCTACAAATGTTGCTTGAAGTGAGAAAGATGGCACTATCAACCTGGGAATCAACAGGAGAGGATGATAATAAGTAAATCCTGATTCTGCTCATGTAGTGTCCATTTAGCTATTTAATCAAGATAAACTTAAGCTGGAACCCCGAAGTTCACACAGTAGCCTCTCTGACACCTTATCACATGCAGTTAATAGCAATTGCATATTTTTCACAGTTGTTCAGAACTCTTCCTTACCAATTTCTCATGTATCATTGAAGGGCTGCAAGGATTGGGACAGAGTCGGTGTCAGTTCTTCAACAGCTTTTGGGTCATCTGGATATTAATGTGCAGAAGCAGAGTGGTACACACCCTGTAGCTGAATCTCAAACAAGTATCTTTGAGTTTTGCAAAGCACCCTGAGTGGGAAGGAGTCACTGAAGGCACTGAGTGGGTTATTTTTTACTCATCGTTATCTGTTTAATATTTGATTTGTTTTGAATAAGCACTGTTTTAAGTAGAACTACAAGGGCTGCTTAAATCCTGGGGTAGAGTGTGGACAATCATTGTATAGCACTAGGGACAGAAGAAAACAATCAGTAAAAACATTATTAGACTGGAGCACCAGACCACTTCTCTCGTAGAAGACATCACTAAATAAATGCTATTTAGCTAAGAAAAAAATATGAAAATTAAAAGCACCTGTGTTGTGAATGGAGCCTGTACCAATGACATAGCAAGAATCTTCCTTATACAATGTGTGGGCTACTTAGACCTTGAATCCAAAGTGAGTGCTCTGTATCCTTCCTCTTTAGGGTCAGAGGTTTTGCTTCACTTCACAATCTGTTGGCCCGCTCAGCTGAGTTCACAAGTACTATTGTGTAGGTGAAATTGTGAACTAGCTGCCTCTTCAGAACCAACTGAAAACAGATGGGGAACTGTGATGCAGAAAAAGGTACGAGTCACTGCTTCTCTTGAAATGGCACGGTGTACACGGCATTCATGGTTCACCTCCCTCCTTTTCCCTCTCCCCCTCCCAAGACCTGTACCTAAAGTGACAATCTAGCCTAGGGCAACAAGAACTAAATGCTCTACTTTGCTGTGTAGAATTGAAAGAGGTTCAATGAAAACAGCAGAATAAGAGCATAATTTTCAGAGTGCTGTCACTTCCTTATTGTCCCATTCTCACCTCTATTTCCTCAAAATCCTCTCTACATCTCATCTTGTAAGAAAAACCTTTTCACAAGGACGTTGTGCAATTCTTCCTTTGCATGGTTACCTCGTAGTTTGAGCACCTCATTTCTTTCCTGAGTTTAAAGAATTTAGAAATTGCTACAAGCTAAGTGGTATGATAGGGGTTGTGTGTGGGGGGGGGTTGTTTGTTTGTTTTTTAAAATTGCTTTTCATTTAGATCTAAGGTGCACAAGCTGGGTTTTTTAAGCTCATAATACACTGTCTATTAGGAAATGCTAATGGAACCCTGGAGACTTTATTTGGAAAAGTTTTTATGTGTGAAAAGTATCTCTGCTATATTAAAATGGTTGTGACGCATTCAGAATGTCCTTGTTTTAGTGAGCAGTCCACTAGTCAGTTATAATAGGTTGATGCACCTAAGCTGGCATAACTTTGACTCCCTGAATTTCTGTAGAGAAATACCCTCTGGCAAAGCAGGTGGTGGTGCCACTGTTTGCTGTTAGCCACTAAGGTGACTGGTACAGTATCACATTAATATTAGCTGTATGATTAGAGTACTGTTGCATCTAGTGGTCCCTTTTGAGATACGGACCCAGTTGTGCTGTGCTAGACAATACGTAGGAGGACAGTCTCTCCCTCTCTCCTTGAAACACCTTAGTATCTAAACAGGGCAAATCAAGAGAAAATGTTTAAGTGCCTTGCCCAAGGTTTCAGGGTGAATCTGTGGCAAAGCTGAAAAGCTCTCATATCCCACATTCAGCATCATCTTTCCTCTAAAATTCTTAACAGAATAGTAGGGGTTTTTTGGAGGAAGTCAGGCTTATAAGATGCTGCAATAGCAGAGGAGAGTCAATAGCCTAGCTAAACTAATATATAACCTAGCTCCCCCTGTTATGCCCTTTCCTCCTTAGTGGCATAACTAAGGCAGGAGACCAGGGCAGTTTTCTCCTGCAGTGCAACTATGAGGCTTATGTGTGCTTTCCCATTGTACCCTTTCCTAAACAGAACTCCCAGCACAGAGTCTCACCTACAGTCTTTGATGTCTTCCTGTCTATGTATTGGCTTTATAATACCACTCTTCACTTGTATCTGTAAAGTCCCTGCCACTTCTCTGTTTTGGGACTGCAATCTCTGCTCAAGGTTAGTTGTGTTTATTAATGTTTATTTATATGATTTTTTTTATTTGTTTTTATTTTGTTTAAGGTTTGTCTGTTGCATATTTATGGCCTATATTGGTTGGTTGATGAGTTTTGAGTAGAAAGGGGTTTCACTTGGAGGATGAATCCATCTTATGCTGGAAAGGTCTTCAAAGAGGAATGTGTTGCTGAGGGAAATATTGGTGTGATATTGATATTTTGTTTTGTGGTCTTGCAGTTGGGTTAGTTATGATCCTTGTTGCAATGGTTCTTAGTTCATT